AGGAAACAATTAACATTTTTAAATTATAATTATTTAATCATCAAATATTAAAAATAATATATCTATAACATCATAGTTATCAATTATCATCAATGACTTCATCATATCATGCATTCATCAAAATTATCCCATAAAATATACTCAAATTACCTTTTTAATTATTGTCTAAATTATCCAATTTGCAACGAGAACCTTTCACCGGGACGGAGGTAGTAGAAAAGGACTCAAAGTCGATCCTTGGTGCGCTTCGATAGTATTAAAAAATTTTGCAGTTCTTCGGTCTTTCTTACACTGGCACGGGCACTTGTAGGACATCCATGATGATGTTGATATATTTACATGACATGTCCTAATCTAGTTAAGGCCATTAATTCAAAGGACTTCTCGAGATACCATTCATTTGCCTTTTCCAGGTCAATCACCACCAAACGCATATCTTTGTTCATATCCCTATACTTATCCACAAGTAGCCTAAAAAGGTGAATGACTTGAGTTGTTGAGTGACCTGACATAAAACTCAGTTGATTCTTTAAAATCTTTACACTTCTTCAATCTTCAAGGCATTTGTTCAATCAATTGCTCTGAAAGTTTCATAGCGTGTCTCAAAAGTTTAATTCCTCGATAGTTGGCTCAACCTTGTACATTATCCTTATACTTTAAGAAAGTGATAAAAGTACTTTTTCACAACCTCCCCGACATCTTGTTATTAGTCGAAGTATTGTTCAAGAATCATGCGTGAATTACTCTCTCCCCAAAACTTCTCGAGACCTCTATCAGTATGTCATCAAGATCCACTACTTTCTTTCCTCCCATCTTTTCAGAGTCTCTTTAACATATATCGTCTAGATCCTTCTCATGAAATTTGAATTTATCGTATAATCGAGCTAGGGTTCTTTTGGGCTTCACCCAGAACTTCATAAATTTTAGTTGAATCAGCTAATACAGTCAATTTGGGAATTACCAAACAGACTCTAAATGTAATTTTTCATAATTCGCAAGAATCAGCCAATCTAGCCACTTCAGCCAGAACTTTATAAATTCCAACAGAATTAGATGATTCAGCTAATTTAAGTGCTACCACAATTTCAGCTGCTTCACTCAAAATTTCATAATATCAATTAAAGAAATGTTTGTGAAAAATTTAAAAAAGTGCTTTTCAGCTTTTGTTTTTTTTTAAAAAAAATCTGAAATTAGTGTTTTCAAGTAACATCTTCTGCTTAAATTAAACACTTAAAAGCTAAAAGTTGGAAGGAAGTCGAGGGGTGTTTGAAACTCCTTTTCACCTTTTTTATTACACAAAAAACACTTATTTTATCAAATACTACTAGCTTTTACTTTCTTAGAAGCATTTTTTTCACAAACACTATCAACTTATACCGTTAAGTACTTTTTCCAAAATTACTTTAAAGAATCACTTTTTTAAGTATAAACAATCACAAACACACTAAGTTAAAGACAATGATTAAATTAAAGGGAAATAGGGGGGGGGGGGGGACGCTATAAAAAAGATCAATTTAACTAGAGTTAGGGAATGTTTGCAACTGCTTCTGCTTAAAAAAAAGCACTTTTGGAGATGTAATGAAAAAGTGATTAGTAGTAAAAGTTGATAGTGTTTGAGAAAAAAGTGATTTTGAAAAGTAACAGTTGGTAGTGTTTGGTAAAATAAGTGCTTTTTGTGTAATAGAAAAGGGAAAAACACTTTTCACACGCAAGCCGAGAAAAAGTAAAAATTGGAAGTGTTTGGTAAATAAGTGCTTTTTTAAGCCAAAAGCTGAGAAGTGCTTTTTTTTAAGCTATTGCAATTACTCCCTTATACGTGTGACACTACTTAGGGAGTGTTTGCAATTGCTTCAACTTTAAAAAAGTGATTTTTTTAAGTGATTTTGGGAAAAGTGATTAATAGTAAAAGTTGGTAGTGTTTGAAGAAAAAGTGATTCTGAAAAAGTAAAAGTTGGTAGTGTTTGGTAAAAGAAGTACTTTTTGTGTAATAGAAAAAGTGAAAAGCAGTTTAAAGCACCCTTCCACCTGCTTCCAGCTTTTAGCTTTTAAGTGATTAATTTAAGCAGAAGCTGTCATTTGAAAACACTCTTTTTAACTTTTTTTAAGCCAAAAGCTGAAAAACACTTTTTTTAATCAAATGCAAACACTCCCTTATTCTACTCAAACATTCCACTCTTTGAACCATTACTGATTTCTAATTTTCCAAACTAATCATGATAGTAACCTAGTACCTGTTACTCTATAACTCCATGTTTTATTTGAACCTAGCGTATTCATGCGCGTAGGATTATACTTAAAACCTATGAAGCACGGATACTTCCCTAGGGTAGTGTATCGGCGTATCCGATACGTTCCCGTTTCCGATACTCTAGGATACCCGTACGTTCCCGGGCCGTATCTGCAATTTTTAAAAGTTTCCATTTTTTTTTGTAAATTTTTGAAAGTTTCCGATACTCGTATCCTGACGGATACCCGTATAAAACTTTAAAAAAAAATCTCAAAATTTATTTAATAAAATTGTAAAAAAAAATAAAAATCTAAAACTACATTTTACTTGGCAATCAAATAATGGGCCTACATGGCTATATCCGAATTAAGTCATTAACTCATACTCCGAATTGGGCACTTGTACTTTTAATTTCAAGATTGTAGTTGTTTGACTTATTTCTCATTTTAAATTAATGACTTATTGACTACATTTATATTTCGAGATGCACTAGTATATATGAGAAATATTAAGAATTTATTACTTATGGAGTATATGGCCCGGGAACCCCCGGCCCACAGACTCCTACTAATCTATCACAAGCCCAACAAACCCAAGGAGCTCAGGAGGCCCAAGATTCGGCGGCCCAAGTGTCAAGAAGCCCGCAGTACACACAGGGTGCCTTCGGCCTCCTTGGCCGAAGGCTCCAAAACTCACAGAACCGCCATGTTCGACCATGCGAAGCTACTGGGAGAAAACGGCAGAAAAAAGGAGCCCTCGGCACCAGGGGAGTCCCTCGGCTGAACCAAACCTTCGGCTACACAGGACCTTCGGCCACACGAAGCCCTCGGCTACGCGAGGAGCCTTCGGCCATACATGAAGCCCTCGGCTAAACGGACTCAATCATCGAAGATTCCCTTTAGAGACAGTCAACCACCGCGTTTAATGCAACGTCACATCCACCCACCCCACCGCATTTAATGCGGGGAACGTGCGATGGCCGGTGCCACCCCGATTGATGTGACCCCTCGGCCGTTGGATTACTGACACGTGTACTCTCATCGCATTTATTGCTGCTATAAATATCAGCCCATTTCTCCTTGTAAAAGATCCCAACTACACACGCTGAGTTCATTTAATAAAATCGACTCTCTCTCCTCCTATTTATTCTGACTTCTCTCTAGTTATTCCCGCAATAACCCCTCGGATAAGATACCCCCCGGGTAGACTGTCCATCAATTACTAAGTATCTTGAAAAAGGAAAATGCTTCAATGCAATAAATGGGTAGACATCATAAGATATTATATGTGTATATATATATATATATATATATATTTTCAAAAAACATCTATTTTTAATATTTATAAATAGACCCCTATAACTTTTAATATTTGTAAATACACCCCCATAACTTTTAATATTTATAGATTGGCCCCGTATCCGTATCCTACTTTTTTTGGTTTTGACGTATCCCCGTACCCATTTCCGCGTTTCCGCGTACCGGTATCGGTGCTACATAGCTTAAAACTCATTGAGGTAGTAAGGATGTTTTCTTTTGGACTGAAATTTGCTGGTCTGGTTTGGTCTGGTCTGTTTAAGTCTGGTCTGATCTGAACTGGTCTGGTCTGGTAAACATCTGATCTCTGTGTATTTTATAACTATCCAAGTCTGGTCTGGTCTGGTCTGTTTAAGTCTGGTCTGGTCTGGTCTGTTTAAGTCGGGTATGGTCAGATCTGGTCTGATCTGGTCTGGTCTGAGACTGAAAACAGTCCAAAAGAAAACATCGTAACCTATATTTAGGATGTTTTCTTTTAGACTGAAATTTGCTGGTCTGGTCTGGTCTGAACTGATCTGGTCTGGTCTGGTAAACGTCTGGTCTCTGTGTATTTTATAACTACGGAAGTCTGGTCTGGTCTGTTTAAGTCTGGATTGATCTGGTCTAGTCTGTTTAAGTCTAATCTGATCTGGTCTGGGACTGAAAACAGTCCAAAAGAAAACATCCTTACAACTACAATATTTCCAGATGTTGAAATTAGCAATTGCACTAAGTGGAGAATATAACATTACTTCGTAAATTAAAATTCAAAACAATATATCTCATTTAAGTGCTGTAATCAGAATGGCAAACCATTCAAATTTGGTTTGATTTAATTAGATTAGATTTGGTAACCATTGGAGTAAACTGTTACTAAACCCATTTTGGCCACCCTAGCTCTCAACTTCTCACAACAAACCCGCACGGGTAGCTCAGTTGGTTCAATGGTGAGAAGTTGGATCAAGGAACTCATGTTCGAGTCCCCGCAACGACCGTGTGGAGACCACAACCTTTTAAATGGGCTGGACCTCTGACGCGCACAAGCATATGGACCAATGGGCCTACTGCTCCTCCACCGATTAAGTCATCTTGATTTACATTTTACATCCTCCTATCTGCTTTGTCAGATCCGGGCGTGGGATGTCCGGGGGTGGGAGATTCCACCTTTGGATCAAGAATGAGATAACAAAAAGTAAAAGGGAATTTATCCTAAATAAGACAAAAAACGTTTGTAAATTCCAAAATAGAATTATCGTGTTTTTTTATTATCAAAATAAGACTAATTACTGTCATGTTTTGACAATACCAGACTTTGAACATGACAGTATTTCTAAACTTGACAGTAATTACTTCTATTTTGAGAATAAAAACATGACAATCCTATTTTGGAATTTTTTTGATCTTATGCTTCTGTTTTGGGAACTTTCCCAAAATAAAAAGTCACTCCCAATGTGAGTCACACACGTGTGAACTCCTTATAGCACTCAAGATAAGGTGTCAGGATATTCTGGGATCACGAGATTAGCTACCTCTTTTCCTCCGTCGATCACTACATTTTCCCCAATCTTCACCGTCCCTTACATAAATCTCCTTTTCCCCGCATATCCTCACTTCAAGCTGCAATCCTTCTTCGTCTTCTCCCCCCAAGAAGAAATGGCGGCTTTCCAACGAACGTCGTTTACATTCTACTCGTCCTCGCTGCCGTCCACTAAAATTCTCGCCGCGCCGACGGCGAAGCTCTCCTTCTCTGGAGGCCTTAGGCTTCCGAAGTTCACTATCAAGTCTCCCTCCAGAAGACTCTCCCGCCGCGCCGGCGGCGGCGTGCTTGGTGCCAAAATGGCTGACACGGCTGCCGGAAGATACGCTTCCGCGCTCTGCGATGTCGCCATGTCGAACGGAACTCTGGAACAAACCACAGCGGACATGGGGAAGATCGAGAAGATCTTCTCCGACGATTCCGTGTTCGATTTCTTCGCCAGTCCTGTGATGAGAGATGAGAATAAGCGGTCGGTACTCGATGAGATCGCCGAGTCGTCGGAGCTCCAGCCGCACACGGTCAATTTCCTGAACATCCTGTTGGACATGAATCGAATGGAGCTGATAAAGGACATCGTGAAGGAGTTCGAGGAATTGTACAACCAGGCGACGGAGACGGAGCTGGCGGTTGTGACTTCGGTGGTGAAGCTGGACTCGCAGCACCTGGCACAGATCGCGAAGGGCGTTCAGCGGCTAACCGGAGCTAAGAATGTTCGAATCAAGACCGTGATTGACCCGTCTCTGGTGGCCGGGTTCACAATCCGGTTCGGAGATTCCGGGTCCAAATTAGTGGATATGAGTGTGAAGAAGCAGCTTCAGGACATTGCTGCTCAGCTCGAGATCAAAGACATTCGGTTGGCCGTATAATTAACCCCTCCCTCTCCTTTTTCCAATTTACTTATTTAATCATAATTGCTGCAAATCATGAATGTTGTAATGAATGGAATATTGGAGTTCATCATGTTGTCAATATATTTATCTTGTACCAATATCGGCTTATTCTTCAGATATGCAAATTCAACAAGCTTTTTCACATTATGAGAATTCTTCTGAATTATTAAACTTTATTATATACATTAAGAAGCACATTCTTACCCTGTAATTTACATATGGTCCTTTTACGATGTCAGCTTGGGCAATAACAGCATAGTACAAGCATAAGTTACTAACAATGGCAAATGTAGTTTGCTACAATGTTCTAAGCGGGGCTGGGTCAATTTGGGGAAAAAGCGTGGCAGCGAAGTTATGTTGCCATAAAATTAGTTATAGGTTTCGCAAGGGCGGGCAGCCCAGATGGAACTCAGATCACGGAGGCGTTGGTAGAAGTCTCCAAATGCGAGCAGCCCCGTCGCTGCTTGCTTGGTTGTTAGAATGCGGCACATCTGCTGCAATGTCTGCTGCCGGAGGTTATCTGCCTGTTTGGATGAATGAAAAACAACATGTTTACATTTTAGTAGAATTAATTTCAACAGCATATATGAGAGGTGGAATATGAGTAACTCTAAAACTAACTTCATCCGTTCCAAAATATTTGAGCTAATATTTTTTGGTTCAAAATAATTGTAGTTCTACAAATTCAATGCATTTGTGTAAGTGTTGATTTTCAAATATTTCCTCCATTGACCTTTTCCATATTGAATGTTATTCTGCATTTCAAAAGATCTAAGAAGCATTTATTGCTTAACTTCATAGGGATAGACATGTCATTTTGTAATATTCGTGGACTAGTGTAAAACAACAACTAATTTGGGCTGGTGGGAGCAGTTCATCATCATCATTAGCCCAGTGCCGCAAAGGCTCCCACACATTTGGTGGGCTGGTGGGAGTAGTTGATAAGTTTTATTTCTTATATGACTTATATTTTAGGTGATACATGGGTAAATTTGATGTGGGGTGTACTTTAAGAACAACAATGTTCATTTATCAAAGAAATACAACGTAGTAACATATTCAGAGTATATGACTAAAATAAAAGAGTATATGACTAAAAGAAAAGTAATGGACAAAAGAACATCCTTTATTGCATGATGATGATATTTGTAGGGTGGCTGGTGAGTCGATGACCATGATGATGTTCTATTTTATCATGCAATGTGACTGTATTTTCATATTGAATGTAGCTCGTCCATGGGTTATGGTTTTTTAGAAAGGAAAACCCCTAAAAAGAATGACAGTTGTTTTGTGTTTGAGACTTCTGCTAGAACCGAGAGAGAGATCAAACTAAAGTAGTCTGACTGTAGTTTGATCTACTGTGTTACTCTTATGAAACAAACAATAAAATACTGTGTGAAGAGCTAGTGAGAGTCCACCTGGTTGATTAGGCTTTCAAGTGTTAGTAATTTCTCCAAAGCAGTCACCAACTGAGTGTTGTAACTTCCTGCTCCAGCGCTTATCATCCTCACGCTTTGGGACAGGAATTGTTGCAGTTTATTCATTCCTTGTGTGAGGGCGTCCTCGGCCTGTTGGCAACTCAGTTGCAGTTCATACACACTCAATAACTGCTCTTCACTCAAGGGTGTAATTTGCTGCAATATCACCTGCATTCTTGTACATTCATCTTTTCTTTAATCATTTAAAAAAATGAATCAAACATATAAGAGATGCTGTATTAGTCTTTGACTTCTAAAGTTAAATAATGAGGTTAGAAATTCCATGTCCATATATGGTGGGTGATATTAAAAGGCTCAATTCGTTAAGTCATAGGTAGAGTTGTACAAAACCTTATACATGTTAGTTTGGGTATTTTTATAATTGCCGATGTGAGATAGTTTAACAGGTGATATTGCTAAAAGAGAGACTAAATCACATGAGGATTATTACGTTGATAAGTTCTAATGGTCTGAATCCTCCAAGCCAAAGGAGAAACCGCTCGACTGGCGTTTGCCACATTCCTGATATTAAGTAGAATATATCCGCTTTCGCAACATCAGCTTTCATCCGGAAGAGACAGTAATAGTGGTTTAAGATACTGTCAACTAATAACTGCAGCTCTGTGTCATGCATATTTGATTGTAAGGCAATTCTGAGCTCTGAATTTCTCAATTGTTGATCTTCTACCCACTGTGCGTAGCCCATCTCAAATGCAGCAATTCCTACATATGTATATTTTTAGCAGCATTAGCTGATCATCACTGGTTGTGTTAGGTAGGGTGTGAGTTGATCGGCGGAGCTTATATTTGCATACCTGGATTAATCGCTCCGCACATTGCTATGCTACGGGTGGCACCTAGAATATGTAGTCCCTTAATGAAGTGATTCAAAAACACGTCGGATCATTTAGATTGACCTTTTGAGATGAAATATCAAGTGTTATTCAACCGAATATGCAAATCTTACTTGTTGCTTGGCTTGCTGAAGCTCCATCTCAAGCTGTGTTAGCTTCACACGGCTAGTTTCTAATTGTTGAACATAAGCCTGCAAGAAGTGTACAAATTCATACAAACGATCATACAGGAACCAAAGATGGCACACATATTATATCAGATTTTCAACAAGGGATGGACCAGGTCCCGCATCTGGCCTTTATAATGGTCCCAACCTTAATCAGTACCATAGATTGGTCCATTTCTGTTACTTCCAAAACAGGACAGACTCGGAACCATTGCGTATAGCCGATTATGGTTACAATTACACCCTTCCATGACTTGGTGCCGCGGATCGGATCCATCCCTGTATGCATTGTGTAAGCAAAGAACATCATCAAACATTACATTGTGATACCTTTTTTCTAAGGCGACTTTTCCTAGCAGCTTCGCGATTTTGAGCTAGACGTCTCTGCACCTATCAAATAATAAACGCCTACATATGATGCTTTTCTACAATATACAACAACAACAATAACAATAACATTACGCCAGTGCCGCAAAGGCTCCACCTATGGTGGGGTAAAGTGAGATGCCTATATACAATATATACAATGCTTTAAAAAAAAACTCATAGGAGTCATAGGCTTCATACCCCAGGAAAGTTTTATTGTAAAAAATGTACTTTATAGGAAGAGTAACCCAAAACATATACGTTTATTTGCTATCTATATTTGTTTGATGCAGTATACTGGTATGACTTCTAACAACAGACTCCACTAGGAGGCATGGGAACTAAAGAGCATCATTAGCACCTTGTCAGCTGTAATGCTATGTGTTGCTTGATTATCCCCAAAGGCAAAAGGTGCCGCAGCTGAATCACTAGAAGTGTACTCGGACTGCGAGTGGAAATCAAATTAAGCGAAAAGTCAGACACTTTCAACGGCTTCGATTCAAGTACTCTCGAAAGGCGGGTTTTAATACCTTATTATCCTCCACTCCTGCAGTTTGATGTGTAACCAAGCATGTATTATTCAACCCATGGATGACATCCCCTCCTAGTGTCTCCTCCCAGCCAATCTCCTGGAACGGTTCGTATAACCTGTTCATCGTTCTTGTTGGGCCAAATTGAGTTGTTGCAGAGCCCATGTTCATGATGGCCTGATGATACGAAACCATCTGCGGGCGTGATCACGACATATATGCATACATACATAAAAACACGTGCATAAGAATCACATATATAAAAAACAAAACAACGACAAAGAACGTAGCCATGATTCTAGAGTTCTAATCAAAGAAACCTCAGACCATAAGATTTATTCTGTGCCAAAGAATATTCCTCTTTTCTGAAAATTTTATGCATGACAACTTTAGATCTGATTACATGACCCCATATTTAAGATTCCTATTTTGGTATCAGCTTATGAACTAAACATCACAGCACACATACAACATAAAAGCAAATATAACTTCATATGTTTTTTGTTGATTCCATGAAATCAAGAATCAATAAAATCAACAGCAGCTACCATATATATACAGTACTAAAAAGAATATGAACTCACACTGATATGGAAATTTTATGCTTTTATACACAATGAGAAATAGAATTGTACTGCATAGAATATATATAAAACTTTGATCAGTAAATGAAGGGGACAGAATTAAAGGGTATGTAGAAACTAAAGCTTGATTGAACTGGATAAGAATGGTTGAATTATTGAAGCACACGTAGAAAAGTACCTAGCTAGCTTCAAACTGTTTCTTGGCACTTTAGTTAATTACTAGATGATGTTTGGGATTTAAGAAAGTTTTATCACAATTGATAACCTATATATACATGTTTATAATCTGCCTACCAGCTCAAGAACTGGGTCATCGGATTCATGGTGGTTTATATTATATTTTAATGTATATAGGTTATACAGTATTATACTGTATGTGTACACACACGTTTCCTCCTCCCTTGCGAACTTCCCTATAATTCTTTTCTTATGTTGAAATGCTTTTAAACTCTACATCTCAGCTTGATCGAGTTTATCACCTACATCTTTTGGACATCTATCCTATTTAAAGCTTTCCATTTCTATTTTAGATAAAATTAATGATAAAACTAATCAGCAAACATTAAAAAAAGTACACCCATAATATCAAAGTTACCATCAATGATTTCATTATAGGGTGATGATCTCATTATATTATATATCCATCAACACTACTTTTCAAAATGTAATCTAGCTAGCTAATACCATTATTTAAATTATTGTCTAAATAATTGTACCATTTTTCAATTCAATGAGATGCTTAAGCCGGAATGAAGATAGTATTATAAATTACATGTTTTGAGGCTAATTATCTCTTTGATAATTTTTATTAACATATTTAAAAAAGAGGCAGTAATATATTCCACATTTTGGTTTATGGGTTTGGTGGATTGGGGTGGGCACCTTTGAATAGCCATATTTTGGTTGAACAATAATTTCGGTGAACTGAAATTTCACTTAATAGTATTCTAATACAAATACCTTAATATAGGTGAACTGAATTGAATATAATTTTATACTCACTTATTAATACCAATATAAGTTAATTACTTGTTAACCAAAATCTTGCAAAATATATTGGTCAGTGCTAAACTAAACTTTGACTTTTCAGATCTTCCCATGATATGTTTAAAACAAAACAACAAAATCAGTTCTTGATTACAATAAAAAGTGCATTGAAGTTTTGAAATTACCAATATTGTAAATTCTTCAGATCAAGTTGAAGGTATATTTATTAAAGGGTACGTATGACTTGTTACAATTTTGAAAGGTGCATATATAAAGTGTTACTTTTCAAAATTGAAAAGAAATACAAGAAGTTTTTGAAGGAACTATGTGACAATATTATACGATTTCTTAGTAAAAAAGCTACCTTAGCTTATATTTTCCTCCTAGATAATGCAAATTCTTGACTAGATTGCTGCCCCTACATAGATTTTTGTTTGTTTAGTGAATAAATTATTGTTGTTCTAATAAGGTGTAATAAGAGATGTAGTTAAGGATCAGACGTACGTTTTGGGCGTTGGTCCAGCTAGCTTTAATGTGATATATGTTGCTGTCCACACTGTGGATGACTTTTAGAATTATAACAATGATTGCCATTTTGTCCTCAACTCTATACATACTGGATTGCATTGTTACGTAATCTTAATTATATAACCTTCTTTCCAACAAACTATACTATTTTTATACACTACTGTCTCCATCCCATATCAGCTCCCCCTTTAATTTATAATTTAAAATTTATTTGTGCATATAAATACTTGAAAAACCAATTTGGTTGATATATTAATTTTTACAATGAGATTGAATGAAGTTGTATACAACTGTGATAATTTTTAGTTTTAATTTCACCTGTGAAATAATGATATCCGACATTTTAAATCACCATAATAGTGACGTGTGCATTATATTCCATGAAAAATAGACACACATAATACTGATAGATGTCTCAGTCATGAGCAACCCAATTAGGAACTGATTTCAAATATGCCACACAACCATAGTTATTCTACTTTTTTTTCCCAAAAAAATTGATAAACCATTGAAATCCTTCAATAAAATACTGTAATAATCTTGACATCGGTTTTGTGATGTGAAAATTCACTAATTAGGACAAAAGTACAAAGTTCGTAAAGATGAGTATCATTATTTTTAAAATAGGACTCATCACTCCAATTTTGGGAAGTTTAATCTAATGTACTCTTTTAATATTTTTAATATGACTAAATAAGTCATATTTGAGGAATACAATATATTTTAAGTCCTATTTTGGAAATTTGTCTATTTTGATCTTATATTGAACAATTTCTTTTTCTATAACTCCTTTTGGTACATTGTAAGGCGCTGACTGAATCAAATTAAAGTTAGATTATTGATATTAACCAAATTAAATTTAATTTATACGTATACATGATCGAATAATTGCTACACAATTGTGAGCAATATATAACATAGTTATGTTATATACTCCCTCCGTTCCCAAAAATACTTCCCACTTTCCTTTTTGGGCCGTTCCCAAAAATTCTTCTCACTTTCCCTTTTTGGACAATTTGTGTGGCTCACATTCATTTTACTTTTTTCTCACACAACCACAACCACACATTTCCACTTTATTCCACTTTCTTAATAGGCGTGCCAAGTCAAACCGGGAAGAATTTTTAGGAACGGAGGGAGTAGAAATCATGTACTGCAAAATCAAGCAACTAAGTCTGTACAGTAGAAAATATTGCAATTTCGTTATCACTTTATGTACATGAGTCATAAGGAGGAAGAAATAACGAGCAACGGAGCAAGTGAGCAACAATTATATACTCGGTACGTATTATTGTAAAACCAAAATTGATCTAGCTAGCTAGTAATAATAATTCCTCCACATATAGGCTATGTTTGGCACGCCTATTCAGCTCAAAAAGGGCTTAAGTTTTTCAAATTTGGTAAGTTTAAATTAAAATAGTCTCGTTTGGTTGAAGAGCTAAATAAGGCTTGAGCTGGAATAAATGACCTAAACTACAACGCTAGAGGGAGTAGCGTTGGTATTCAGTCCACCATATCCAGACTTTTGATTCCTAACACAACCTTCTCTCCTTTCTATAAATCCATTGATCGCTGCAACCCTGTACTAGTGAGTGAACTCACGAATCTTTCTGCTCCTCGCTTGAGCGTTGATTATGTACGAAGCCTAATGAGTTCATCTTTCCTTTAATCTTGGTGGAATCTGATTTTTAAATGTATCAACACTTTTCATGTTCATTATATTGTTAAATGAAAACAAACGTCACTTGTTCAAACGAAAATACAATCGTGATATACTAATATTTATAATCGTAATATTATACGTAGTAATAAATATAAAAATACCGTAATGTTATACGGAGTCATAAATATTTTCACTTAATATATTATATGTCCTTTAACGTAATTTTATATTTTCCAGTAACAATTTCAGCTACTTTTGCCGAACAGGTCTACTTCATTCAGTTAATACATCAGATTCAGCACTTGTATTCCAGTTCCAGACAATAGTTTTCAATTCAGACAATAGCTCTTAATTCAGACATTAGTCTCTAGCTTCAGCTCGTTGTGCCAAACATAGCCATAGAGTAATAAAAATTCAACCTAATTGGCTTCAATAATGGAGTAATATACGAGTATAATATATTAATTTCTCCACATTCAATAAAAATCAGGGGATTAATTGAGCTAAGATCCGTTTGGTATGATGTAAAGGAAACACTTTGTAAGTAAAGCGTGAGGGAATAAATATTTTACACTGTTTGTTTTAATTATTTGATTTAAATTATACTCCCTCCATCCCAATTTACTTAGCCAAACTTGTTTTTTCAAGTCAATGGTACATAACTTTGACCGATTATATATCTATATAGAAAAAATATTAATAATATAAAAATTATATGAAAATGTTCTTTGTTGAAAATACTATTATAAAAGTATAAAATTATTAATTCTTTCATAAATATATTAGTTAAAATAATTGGTCAAAGTGTACCACCTTTGACCGGAAAAGTCAAGATTGGCTAACTAAATTAGGACGGAGGGATTAGGACATTTTTTAAAACATTTTAGATTGTATCATGTAATAAGATTGTAACCACGGGGAGCTAAGGCTATATTCGACCAAAGGAACAAAAACACATGCTACGTGAGCGGTAATAGGATTCCGCTGATCCTGATCATAGGACATGCTCCGTACTTGTTTATTATACGTGAAGTGCATGCCTGCGGAAACAAATGCATGCTGCAACTCAGCAACTCAATGATTCAATGAAGGAATTGAGCTAAGAGAAAGAAGAAAAAAAAAGACAATAAACATGAATTTATATAAGAGAAAATTGCTGTTAGTAGGATTAAATCATACAAAGTTTACAAGATTAGGACTCACTTAAGTTTTTCCATCCGTAAGATTTATTTAGTTCTTTTTCAGGAAACTTAATTTTTAGTTTCCCTTTTACCCTCCACTTTATGTTGCTTATTTCAAATACCTCCCTGCTTCCGCAACGATCTATCTCTTCCGCAGCAACCATGTCTTCTTCTTCTGTTTTAATGGAAACCATCATGTGGTGACAGCATCTCAATGGGAAGTTGTTCGGCTATGAAATCCCTTTCCACATTGCATCCTTTCTCGTCACCTCGTGCCATTAGGATTTGTAAGTTTTCAATCTATGTTCTTAATTCATTGAGTCAATATATATGTTTTCTCAAGCTACACCAAAAACCAACTTATCCGATGATGTAATTGTTTCACTTCTAAAAAGAATACAACAGGGAGGTCGGAACTTGTGGAAGCTAAGGGCGGGAAGGGTTCAACCACACTCTCGATGGCATATGTTGGGGCCATATTTGCATATGCTTGCTTGAAAGAATTGAATGGAGTTCCTGATGTTGTTAAATGTTCCTTTGCACTGTCAACCATAATTGAGCTTCCCTTCATTGCATTCAAGGTGAGACTTGGGAAAAAATGGTGTGGAAGAAGTCTTAGGGTTGGGTTCCTTGTCTGACTTCAAAAAGGAAGGACTGGAGAAATTGAAGCCTTAGATTACTCCATTGAGTAGGGAAACAAGTTTGCGAGTGAGAATTAAGAATCTTACTCCCTCTTTTGCATCAAATGTGATTGGGAATTTTTAATAATTTTGGGCATTTGTTGTTTAAGTCTTATTTTTGTTTGAGTGTCTGCTAGTGCCTTTAGATTTAGCCATTTCAAATTCATGCAGAAAAAGCTTAAGATGAAGTTCCACTTCAAATAATATTGAATTAATTGATGAGAGGATATGTTAACCATCTTCCTAAAAAAAGTTTTCACGCACATACGACATCGGTTGCACAAAAAGACATTAATTCATTGAAATCAGTTTCTTAATGAAGATTCAGAAGACACACATTCCTCTTCTAGTGAAGATTCAAAAGACAACTTAATGATTCATATAAACACTTTTTAGCTTTATCTTCTTCGAGTCAAGCTCTCAATTATTATTCAGACTCGTATTTCAATTCTTTGTTTGTTGTTCTTG